CTGAAGCAGTTCACGCGAATGACGGATTTCAGTCTGGCAAACCTTCATCGCACAAGCAATCCTTCATCGCGCACGTGCTCCGAGGCGAGCCACGCGTGATCAAAGATTGCTCACGGCAGATTGGCAGGACAGGGTCCTTGCTGTGCTACCTACGGGCCGCCGCCGTTTTTGGATAACGATTAAGTCTTGCTGAAAACACATACATCCACATCGGTCTCCAGGTCTAGGTGCCAAACGTGTTTTACTAAGAGGTTTGAGACTTTTTGCTCAATACTTCACAGTTCTTTTTCTGCTAGCCTTATAATAAGAGTGCCTTCTGTATTTTTTTCCTCTGTAGTTCAAAATACAGAAATGGGCTTCATGTCCAAAGGCAGTGGGGACAAAAAGTGGTCAGGTTTTTATACAGCGTCACCAAAATCATGCTGTGATCTACTTAGAGTTTATTTTGAAAACGTTTAAGCAATGCAGTTGTCATTCTTTCTAATAATTAGACTACAGAAGCTGAGTCCTGAAAATAAACAATTGCTACAAAAAAATTAAACCTTTAACGCTTTGAAAAAATGCAGACTATGTTTAATGAATTAGTAAAATTAAAAGCTGAGTTTAGTTAACTGATTTTGTTAATAGTGTGAAAGTAAGTCTATAATAACACGGTAGCTGTAAAAATCTTTTGCTCGAGTTTTGGAATTGCTAGGAATCTGGCAACCTATTTTTAAGTCAAGCACCTTATCAAATACAGACGTTTAAGCAACTGCTATAAATGAGTGATCAAATGATTATTAAAATCCCATTTCATGGCTCCTCCTCCAACGCCAGCAGGACACTCATAAAAGTTTAATATTGGTTTGCAAGTTGAAATCCATTTTCAACATATTCTACAAGAGGATTTTTGCTAAGTTATATTGAAGAAATGATCAAAACAGATGCACGAGAGTGAATTTAAATTTATTTTTTGTTTTGACTCTATTCAAAATTGTGCTGAGAAGGCAGTGCAAAATTCTTCCCTTGAGTATCTGTCATCAGGCAAGATAGATTTTTCCACTGCGCTACAGTATCTTTGTTCAATAATTGTTTTTCAATAATTTTGTTAAGTTCTTCAAGTTCAGTATACACCACTACTGGAGTAAGCTGTAGTACGTTATCTTTAAGGATTCAGTAAAGCACTGCTGCAAATTTAAATGGTGAATTTGAGTATCCACAAATCATGCAAATCAAAGAACTTGGCATATCTTGTAAATATAAGCTTTTACTGATTTAAATTTTCAATTATAAAAATGTATAGTTCACTTCTCATTCCATAAAAATAGTGCTTTGGGCAGAAATAAATACAAGATGCAGCTTTACAGTTCTCAAGGAAGACAATTTAAACATTTTCTTTCCTTAGTTGGTTTGCAAACACGATAATCGAAGGGTTTCGCTTCCTCCCCCCCGAGCATGCACTGGCGCTTCACCTCTCCTGGGCCAACATCGGCAACGGGCGGTGCAGCAGCGCTACCTTTCTTCCAGGAGGGCGAGTACTTTAAATTTTATTCCAATTAAGCTCCCTTGTACCAGATCCCCTTTACAACGATTACTGGAAAGCAAACATGTACTGGGACTACAGGGTTCTGCTCAAAGCCCCAAAAAGCTATGTAATTACTGTCAAGTCATACTGATAGGACAGCAAACCCTTGTATGAAAACAAAATTACAAGCCAGATCCTTACCACAAGCAAAAGCCTGAAACGTATGCTCAGGCAGTACCCCTCTGACTTCCCTGCGCAAGTAAGGAACAGAGAGGACAGGATTTGGCCCCGTTAACTTTATGACGTTTTTTTAAAAAAAAAAAACAAAAAAAACCCACAACAAAAACAAAGCGCCAAAAAGAAAAAGGGCTTTAACATTCCAAACGCTAATTTTGAAAAGCACTTCAAGTTATTTATGACCAATTCTATTAATTTGAAAGGAAGAGCCTGACGCAGGGGCAAACCCGTTTTTGAGAACCAGATATACAGCCTCACTTCAATTCAGGTCCAAACTCAAACCATGCAATTCTAAGGCAGGCCCCCAAGGGTAAAGCGTGGGAAGGCTCATCTTTCTGCTCACATTCTGACAGAATACACTTGAGAGACAGCAGGCAGGAATAGAAGACAAAGGGAGGAGTATGACCACTGAAGTTTAACTTCCTCAATAGTCTGGGTTTAGAATGCTGTAAATCAAGTATGAGCAACGTATTGGATTTGGATATTTAGAGGTCCGGCAATAGTTTTCTTTAGAGAAAGTTTAAATCCGTTTGTTTCTCTCTTTTCTTGAGAAGCAAATGTTCTTCATTGGGGTACAGAATGGCTCAGATGCAACGGAAGGGTAATGTCATGACTTGCCAGTTAAAATTGACATCTGGGAATGTCCAAGACAAGGGTCAAAGCAACACATAATACCCCAATAATGTAGCTAGTAATGCCCCCAAAAGATATTACTTTTTTTTTTTTGAACAGCCTTTATTACAAGGCATGAGAATTCTAAGGCAAATTGTTCATCATGGCAGAACATCAAATTAAAATGTTAAGACAGAAATAACCAGAACATGGAGAGTATGTTTGTGTTATCTGTAGCAAGAAGTTAAGTTTACTGTGCCACAGCACCTAATTTATAATTCTCATTCCTAGTCAAATATTATCTTAAATTAGACTAAGATGCTTGAGATCAAAACCATTTCCCTATGTGTCTGTAGGCTGAGGAATGCGATATGGCTGGATCCTAACAGAGCAGCCTCTAGAGGGACTCCACAGTACGTAATAAAAAGGAACAAAATTAACACCATTGTAGGCTCTGCTTCCTTCTCCACATTACGTTAGAAGATTATGCTTAAATTAGATTTCCGTGAATGTTTGGATACGTTTCGACACTTTTAAAAAGAAAAAAAAGTTTCAAAATTAGATGCTGGTAAGTTATTGAACAGCAATTAAACAAAGAGTGCCCTTTGGGCTATCGGTAATTTCTCCTAGTTTTCAGTCTGATGTCCACAGTGCTACATGTTGGAAAGCACAAGAAATTTTGCATGAATTTGATCACTCACATAGGCAGTTATACTTTGAAAACAATGTTTTTCGCAAGGATTACCAATGAAATAATGTTTTAGGACACAATTGAATTTGAAATAGGTAATGTTTTGAATAGATTTTTGAGTTTTATTGAAATCTTACATGAACAAGAAATTGGAAATACAATCACATCAAGGAACAAATTGCCACGGCTTTGACGTTTTAAGCCAAACAAATTTTGTAGGGCAGATTTTCAAAAAGGTGTGAAGTTATAACAATTTAAAAACACAGTTAACCTACTTCTAGGAATGCAAAACATACAATCATGTTATTTTCAATACAAGAAAACTTAATTTGTTGTAATTTCTTAAAACTACTAAGACAAAGCACTAGCTTTTACTTTTATGTACAGCATACTCCTATGTAGTCTATCCCAAATCCAAAAAAAAAAAAAAAAAAAAAAAAAACCCGACAACCAGGGGTTCTTGAAAATCCTGCTTTTAAACTGCTAAAATGAAGCCTAAAATGATAAAAGCATTGAAACCCCATACGGAGTTCAGGAATTCTGCAAGCCCAGTAATGTCCAAGTGCGTTTATGAAAAAAGAAAACTAAGAGACTCGAGTATATACACAATAGAGTGATTCTTCAGCCCAATACAAATGGCAGCCAATCGCTACTGAAGGATGAAACATTAAGCCAATTTTGTTTTGAAGGATGTAGAGCTATAGCCAATTCTATGTTTCCAATATTCTCAATCCCTCCTCACTTGTCTACTTCCACTGTTGCCCATAAGTATCCTGATAAAATTCCTGGTTGTCATTATTGTAACCATAGTTACCGGCATAGTCACCACCTTGCTGGAGCGGCTGTTGAGCGATGGGTTGGGAGCCCCAGTTCTGCTGGTTGTTGGTCTGACGGCGCTTGGAATCAGGTTGGTTGTACCCATCTGCCTTTCTCTTGCCTCCTACGTTGCCCCCACGGTTGCCCCTGGCTCCACGAGCACCGCGTCCTCTCTGCTGCTGTGCCGGACCCCCTCTCCCACCCCTGGCTCCTCTTGGCGGTCCCATGGGTGCCCCCCTCTGTGAATAGCCAGCTCTACCTCTTGGTGGTGGTGCTCCCCGCCCCCTAGGTGGTGGAGGGGCACCTCTCCCACCCCTTCCTCCTCCTCCTCTTCCTCTTATAGCATAGCCATCATCATAGCCGTAATAGGGATCTTCATAGCCACCACGGTAGTCATGATAGTCATAACCATAATAATCATCATAATAATCTTCATAGCCATAGTAATCTGGGGGATAGCCATATCCACCTCTCCCTCCACGGCCTCTGCCTCTAATAGGAGGTGGCATGCGAGGTGGAGGGTAGTAATAATAGTCTTCATACCTATTAAGAAAAAGAAACATGCAATTATTGATCTCCAAAAGTCTCCCAAAATAAAGTATAAATTTCCCCTTGTTGATTAACAACACACAACATGGAGAAAAGCAAAGCCATTCAGGTTCTTCTAAACTAGCTCATGTTTTACAGCAGAGCTTCGCTGCAGCATTACAGTAGTGCAAGAAAGAACACTCACGCAGTACTTCTGGAGGCCTGTCTGGCAGCCTGACGTTCTTTCCTTTTCTTATCCGGTGGCTTTGCTAACACTATTTCAATTTCTTCCCCTTCTATCTCTTTCCCATTCATTTCATTCATAGCCTGTACAAAGATTAGAAGAGAAGCATCTAAAAATTTGTTTCTATTCAAAAGGAAATTAAAATTTACTGAAAGAAACCAGATGGTTGGGCTACTCCAGGTTGAACTATGCCATGTGCTTCATTTCTGTGCTATGTGAACGAATAATATGTAACATTCTGTTTAAGTCCCACTTTATTCACCAGTTACAGTGAAACACCATTTTAAAAAATATTCTCTTCATAACATAAGGGAAAAGAATGGGATTAAAACACATTGAGCATTATTTTTTAAAAAAATCAGACATGACACCATCACTTTTCATGTTCCTATATCCTCTAGACATGTTTCGGAAATACAGTGAGGGAAGTTCTCACTACTCACACTGACACAAACACTCACTGTACGTGTAAGCCAGGCAGAGCACACGCACACAAGAGAAAAAGAGTATTTTTATATTTGGGCTTCCTAGCTGGCTGAATGTGCTGCAGGAGCGCCTCTGAGGAAATCAAGGATTTCTGAGGACACATAAATTTAAGAGGAAAAAAAACATTACTGAAACTTGGTGATCTCATCAAGTGAGGCAAGAATCCTCCAGAAAAGTAATGTGCAATTTGTAACTATAAAATGTGCACACAAAGAGAACTTAATATACATACACAAAGTACAATTAGGACTACACCCCCCAATTCTTTACCTGGAGTTATCTGCTTTGCAGTTAACATTTCTGGGTATTAATATTTGCATTAACAAACACTTTACATGTCTGTACAGCTACACGCCTCAAAACATTAGAGATCATGGTGATTTATCTCAAAGGAGGTATGAAAATAGGTGGACACTGGAATCAATGAGCCAACTCCATGCATTCCACGCATTAATATCATAATAACGCTTTCATTAAAAACCAAACAACACTCCTATACACAAAAATATCTCACAAACTTCATAAACCAATTTAGTGGCCATAAATCAGCCACACGGGGCAGGCGTGGTAGTGTTCCAGCGTGTTTCAGAGATGAGCATTAGAGATGATCTGCTGTACTGCATTTGATCTCTCTTTTCTCATCTGCTACAAGTTTTCAGTTGCTCAAACCTAACAGAGCATTCAGGAGCAAGGTCCGCTGGGAAGGGACTGGCAAGCATTTAAAGACACTACAATAAAACATGTCGGGAGGTGTTGCTGACTTACCCCTTCTGTCAACAACCTCTTACCCTCTCTCGGACGTGGTCTAAACCTATCCAAACTGACTTCAACTTCATTAAATATGAGTGACATTCATCCTAAAGCCAAAGTCAAGGGCATTCTAAACCCTATGGTTACAAAATGATTAATAAGGTTGAGTAAAGAGCCTTTGAACTGTCTGTGTAGCCACACACACCACATACAATATACTTGCTCAGGACTCCCAGGTGCAAAACACTTCCTCCCCTCCTTCTTCCCCCCCATAAACTACGGATTTAAAAAAAAAAAAACAGATGGAGTAATTTCTATGGAATTCACACCACTGAAGGACAAACAACAGAGCATAATGACCTACTCAACTGCTCTTAGATACAAAGGAAGACACCTTTGAAGCTTACAGTAATGACCTCCAATGGGTAAGAAGTCATTTAGAAGAAACCTTCTAGGGAGCATGCGGAGTTAAAAACAGGTAATGCATTAAGGGAGTTGCTAGTGTTATTCTTCTCCCCTTCACAAGGCATTTTTTTTTTTTATTTACCTTGCAATTTCTATTCAATACTTTTGTCACTCCAAAACTACACACAGCCTTTAAATAGGGGTCTTTGAGAGACAACTGATACCTTCTGTCAGTGTTTCCTCAGAAAAATTGTCTAGGTTGGTCTTTTTTTTTTTTTTTCCTCTTCTCTAGACTCTCCTGCATTGGTCTATACCTCTTTTCCAGTCTACTTGTTAACTTGCTACAGTTTTGTCCTCTGCAAGTTTCACATCCTCCTAGCTACTGAAATCATAGGAACAAAATTATTAGTGTTAAAATTCTCACAATGGGACCCTTATTAAATGGGCTCTACAAATTATCTTATCTAGATATTTACTGTAAAGAAATTCCTTAAAACCATTTGTACAAAATAAACTGCTCACATCAATTTAGCTAGGAAAGAATAATCAACCTACCTTCACTGCTGCACCTCTGTCCTCAAAGTGAACAAAAGCATAATCCTTCAACTTCTTTACTCTTTCCAGCTTTCCAAATTCAGAAAAGGATTTCTCAAGAATTTCTTCTGTCACAGTAGTGGCCAAGTTTCTTACAAATAAAACTTTCACCTGGTGAAAAAATGAGAATGAAAGCTGTAACCTTTAAAAGTCAAACCTCAAAGGAAACTAACAAACTAATAAGATGTTATTCCCTTCTCTGCATTAAGAAACTTTGGGTAACCTTGTAAATTCTGTACCTGTTTAAAAAAAGATAGCCTTGTAGTTACCTGTATGAAGTTTCTACAGCTTCTTTCCTTCCATAGTGCCCTTCCATGACCAGAAGAATATCCAACTTTGATTTTCTGCTTCTGGGATGCTACAAATCCCAGTAAAATTTTACTAATAGACATCAAGAGCAGCAAAGAGTTATCCCAAAACACAGGGATAAAGAGCACATCATTCCCTACGCTGAACTTCACCTTCCTCTCACTCTGGAAAATAGTTTTACAAAATACCCACCTAGTATTCATTATCAGCAGAAGCGGAGAATGAACAGACTGATGTGCCAATCCCGGAGGATAACCCTGTACACTACCAGTTTAAATGTGAACAGTCAGTTACAACAGCATGCTCCTAACGTGTTACACAGGCAACTGATTTGCAGCGCTCAGACCACATCAGTTTGCACGGCTTACTATGAAAACGCCCTCTAACTGCTTTTCACGCCTGAGAACTAGCATTGCGCAGCCAGAACAAATCTTTGTCACTATGGCATAAGGAAATTCCTCCCAAAGCACAAGAGCACCCAGTTTTTACTTACCTTTGCCATGACTTCTGGATCGGGTTCCTCTACTGGATCAGCCCATTCCACTGTCACAACATTTCCCCAGACTTTTACTTTCCCACTCATCAGGCGGCGGCGAGCTTGTGCTGCTGACTTGTGATCCTCATATTCCAAGAAGCAGAATCCTCGATTCTTCTTTTTATCATCAGGTTGATGATACAAAATTACATCCACCAAACCCTCTGAAAAACAGGTCTTTAGTATTAAGCTTCAAAAGGAAGAAAAAAAAAAAAGAGAGACCACTCTAAAATGCCTTCACTTGTTTTTTGTAATACACACCCTTTGAATTTAACACCTGAAAGGAGGAGGGAGCACAAGAAAAGCAAAAAAACCCAGGTATCCATCCAATTTACCCAGAAAGAGGTCACCTAGCAGGTGAAATTCTCCAAAACAAACTTACCTCACAATTAGGCCCTGCAAAGTATCAACCTGAACAGTTCACAGTGTAAGTTTTCTGTATTTTGTTTTACCATTTTTACATTTTTGAAAAGCAGTCAGCATTAATCCGTGGCACCTCCCCACCTCCAGGGGAAGCTGGAAAGAATTTCTTCCACATCTCTCCAAAAAGAGGAGAGATAACTAAAGGAATAGTCACCTTCTGTTTTCACCATTTCCCTGAAGTACTTATAAATAGCAATCCTAAAAAAGAAGTAGTAGGTTAAAACCCTCCTACAGGAACAAGAGCAGGCGATCAAGACTTCAATCTCTTATTTAAATCAGAAGCATCCTTCCAGTGATGAGCTGACTTCTTTTCTTCCTACTTGTTGCATATACTGGGGAACAACACTGAAGAACTGGGACAGAAATTAATCTGTCATTAGCTATTTCTACAATAACACTCCCTCTAAACTGATTTAGTATTTCCTCCTCCCCATCATGCCTCAACAATACATTTGTTTGAGGCTTCTCAAAAACTTCTCAGTTATGAAAGCAGAATCTACGTACATCCAGTTACAAATACAGAGGCTCCAACAGGAAGCTAGAACAGGTAACAGAATTAGTACCTTCCCTTTTTTTTCCTGAGTTCATTTGTGCTGTTTCCATCTCAAATTGTAAACCTACAACATCGTTCATTTAACAACCAGTAAAACAGACACTAGCCCCTTTACACGCCACCATAAAAATGTGTTTGATATATGAAATTTCTATCAGAAACAAACTTAGAATCCAACTTGGAAATAGTTTAAATGATAGCTGAATGCATCTGTCAAAAGTAGACCTTCAAAGCAGAGAGACTGAATGGTATTTTGGGATCAGTGTGACAAACTTGTTAAGAAGGTCTTACCTGTGACTTTACTGAACTCTTCCAATATGTTTTCCTTAGTCTTGTTCTTTGGAATTGACCCAACAAATAACCTGTTGTTTGCCACAGAGATGCATACTCCAAGGTGCTTCCCAGGACGGATTTCATAGTTGTCACACTGAAAAAATAAAAAGCCATTCATTTGCTTATCTGCAATAACATGGATAAAAAGATCCCAAAATCATAAAATCAGCTTCTGATTTTCTTCATGATCTACTATTTTTATACGTAGCACATTGAATTCACATTGCAAGAGAATTACTAGAACCGCAGTATTTGGGTCAGCATTCACCTGGACGAACATTGCCGAGCTTAGGTTTTCCACAGAAACTTCTGAAGTTCTGCTGAATGGAAGGCGACAAAGAAACTTATGTACAAGGAACAACGTATAGCAGACAGATTGCACGGGGTGAATTCATTCACCTACTTTCTCAGACTGGAAAGATCTTTCTAGACAATTGGCGATTGCTTCCTGTGCTGGGACTCAACGTCAATCACTGCTGCTGTTACTAATAAGCAAATACATAGCATTATAGATACTATGAGTTCTCCCACTTCACTCTGATAGCTTTTGAACACTGAGCGTATTTGTGGTGAGATACTCAAAAGCCTAAACCAGTGTGTGACCTTGATCTCCCCACCCCTGCCGCAGGGATTTTTTGGACCTTCTAAAGGCTAGGACTCTATACATTTTACTGTTAAGTTTTAAAACTTCCCGTTAAAAAAAATTTAGCCCACTGTTTCACGCTTGTACCCCCAGCTGGATTACTCTGAACACCAACACTCCTGATAGGTCTTTAAAGGCACAAGAGTTCAACCTTTAAAAAAAAAATTCAAGATAGACATCTTTGGTTTAGGTAAGCTTTTCAAACACACCCCAAGAGGACGGATGTTTGACCATCAGCCAGCTTCTGAAAATCTCATCCAACTCTTTAAAAGCAAGTTTTCAGCCATTTTTACTAGCCGAGACGTAGCCATGTGACAGAGCAATACCTTCAGTAACCTTCTTTAGGGTCAAGAAGAACTAGAACAATGTTAAGGTACCACAGGCTATCAAACAAGAGCACTTTAAGGAAGACAAAAACACTTCAGAATTTTGCTTCACATAAAACAGTGATTCATAACACAACAAAACTTTGTGTTCCAGTGCCATAAACTTAATCTGACCGTGCTTTTCAAATGATATGTTATCTTACAAAGCCATTTTACCTACAAACAATCCCATTCCCACTAGTACCTGCAAACACAGCAGAAGGCCCACCTGGCGTAGAGAAACCAAGACTTCGAAATTTCAAGTTTATTTGCTTTTTTCTTTCACTTTGCTATCAAGGTTTAATTAGCTCCAAAATTCAGCATGTGTCCGCCCCATTCTCCTTTCCCCCAGTAGTCTGTGGAAAATATTTCCCCTAAATACAAGCCTGGCCCCATTACCAGATAATGGTAGAGTGGAGGAGGCAGGGGGAAGGGAATCCAGGTACGGGACTTAAGGAATGTATTCACACAAATTCACTTATGTGGCACAATATCCAGGGTATGAAGGCCAGTCTTCCATCAGTGGCACATCACTCGCTACATCTCCTGTCACTTCAGCATCTTCCCTTTCATCTCCCTCCATCAGTAAAAATTTAAAGTAACAACTCTGAGCACCTTCAACTTGGTCAAAAAAAGAAGAAAGTTTCAAAACAATTTCTCCTTCGTAACTGACAGTAACTCATATCCACCATCTTCAAACACTGAAACCCAGAAGCAATCAATTGCAAAAACATATTTTGTGCATCTCCTGCAGGAAACATCCAAGTAGGTTCTAGAAGGAAAAACAGCCTAAGCAGGGACATGCAATTCCCAGTCCTGGAAGAGCCTAACATAACAACTGCAACTATTTCTAAATACATGAAAATACTTGAGGGAACAAACACTGGAACATTTAGAGGCAACAACTCCTTCGGAAGCCTTTACAATGCAACAGAATCACTCTTAAGTTTCTCTAGGTTTTGGTGGGTTTTTCTCCCCCGCGCCTGTTTTGGTTCAAAGTACAAGCAGTATTTCACAGCCATATCCAAAACCTTGGGAGATACGCACTGATCTGCCCAATTCTACTTCCTCCTCTTGGGCAGAGGCAAGGCCAGATGAACCAGCGCCTCAATCGGACTGCTGTCTCTCCTTTTAACTCTCCGGGGATTGCTCTGTACCCTTTGCCAACCCATCTAGATGCTGGCCAAGTCAGGTTTCCATGTACTGAGCTGACTGCATGACTGCCACTGGAAAGAACTAAAGGCCACTGTGAACCATAAAGAGCACCAAGTCCGAGACCTCCTCTACAGCAGCAGCAGCAAAGCATCCCTAATTAGCTCTTTCTAGTAGGAAGGCTGATAAAACTTAAAACACAGTGAAATTTAAAGAACATATTTTCCAGTTGTAATCAAGTAAGCTCTTACTATAATCACCCAAGTACTCTAGCAGACTGCAGTAGGCTATAGCAGACTACGGTCCTAAAAGTAGAACATTATTTGTATATAGTAAATCAAATCAGGAGGCAATTTTTAAGAAAGTAAAATGTTGAGTCTGTCAATGGATGCTTTAATGAAACACTTCAAAGACTTCATTACCTAAGAGATTACCAACATGCTTGCTGTTTACATTACCTTGTCCAATCTGAAAATAAGTTACTCACCAGTTTGACTGCTTCCTGTGCTGCATCTTTACTACAAAAGGTAATGAAAGCGTAACCTCTGTTTTGACCAGAAAGAGGATCCATCATGAGGCGCAGATCCCAAATTGGACCAGCTTTCTCAAAGAGTGGTACCAATTCATCTTCATACAAGTCTCGGGGAATCTTACCAACAAAAACCTAAAAGGGAAGGGGACACTTAAACAAAGCTTTTTCAGAAATCCAAACTTACTTTTAATGCTTGGAAGTTCCTGGGAAAGGAAGCACATAGCAGCATAAACCATCGCAGCAGAAACACTGTAGCCAACATTATTGTATGTCCAATAAGTCTTCTAAACCTCCCGCTGTTAGCACTAGGCTTTACATGTGGAAAACCTGGTTCTGTTATTTCTATTGAAGAGGCAGTAAATTTCCACCACTGAAGAGGTAAACAGTTCTTACCTGATTATAATTTTGGCAATTAAAAACAAAGACCTTACAGAATACATAGTTGGGTAGCCTATTATTAAAGCAGGCCAAGCACTTCCTTGCTCTTGCAACATTTTCAAATCATTCTGTAGCCCAATCTTCATTAGAGAGCTACGGAGACAAAAAAAAAAATCTACAAAAATCCTTAAATTGCCCAATGCACATTTTCCACTTCTACTATATACTGTAATCTTATTTGTACTCTGTATTTGTTTCAGCTTCCACCAACCGAATGTTTTAGTATTTCTCTGAGAAAATCTGGAGTCCTCATGTCTTTGTTCCTCAGAGCAATGACAGCAACCTTCGGTAAAGTTGTGTTAAGGAGTTTAATCTCTTCAGCTGAGGTCTCCCTAAAAAGCTTCCCCCCCCCCCCCCCCCCCCACAATCTTTTCTACAAACCC